GCGATGAGAACGACATTGACTTGAAGAAGCAGATTTGGGCTTACAAGAAGTCCCGAGAGATCATGCGTCGAACAAAGATGTATCGTGGTGAGATCGCTGCTGGTCACCCAGCATGGCCCGCAGGGTCGAAGGCAGCTTCTGTGGAGATCAACGAGGCTCTCGGTAATGTCACAGATCTCGAGTACTCGGCGGAAGACGACAAGGCCATTGAGGACTGGGTTCGACAGAATGTTGCCACGACATGGCACTCTATCTCTACCTGCAGGATGGCACCTCGTGACAAGAATGGTGTTGTGGATGAGAGACTGAATGTATATGGCACAAAGGGTCTCAAGTTGGCTGATTTGAGTATTCCTCCGGAGAATGTCGGTGCGAACACGAACAACACTGCTATTGTTGTTGGTGAGAAGGCTGCAGATATTATCATCAAGGATCTGGGCCTTGGTCCCTCTGCTAAGTTGTGAGATGGAGGTAGCTTGTTGACTAGAAGGCAGTCTTCGAAACTGACTTGGGCTTGAGCAGTGTTTGTAGGGACGTTGAGAACATGAATTTGGCTTGATATTTGGCCGCAGCGTAGCAATCAGTAACAAAAACATACAAGGTCTTGAGGCCTGAAAGCTTACTTACACAAACCAGAGATTTTTGGTGAATTGCAAGATCGAAGCCCACGCAGTTTACCATCTCAACATTAATGAAATCTATCATAGACAAAAAAACGGCCTGCAACAACGTTATTCTTTGGGGGCTTCTGGAGTTATGCACGTCCTTAGCTTTATCGTGCATCGTGTAACAGCGGGTTCGAGGAGCCATACAAGTGCCCACCACAGCACAGCCCAGTAACACTTCCACGCCAGACTTTCAGAAGTCTCCAAGAAGCGATACAGACTGTGTCCAGTGTAAAAGCAAAAAGATAACATGGGAAAACACCAAAAAAACATACAACAGCGGGGATTCGCTGGTCGTCACCGACCCAACTACTAATCCGCCGGTTAGTGGCTTGACTATGGGAGAGCAGACGGGATCCCGTATTTTCCACTACCTATGGTCGTATGTGTTAGTGATACTCTCGTCGAGACCTATAGCCTCAAGATTACGCTTAGGAGAGGATGGTTGGATCATCAACCTGCGGGCCTAACGCTACGGATTCAGCAACACTCCATAAGACATAAATCTCTGCTGGGTACCTCGACAAACTCTCCTGTGCTACTGCCAACTATGATGTCACGTAATTGCATTTGGTCTGGTTGTAGTTAATTTGTTCACCCTAATTGGCGTTCTGAACCTTAGTCAGCCTCAACAGTACTGGGTCAACCCCCTCTCGAGGGATATGCAAACACAAGATACCCTCCTGTTTCTTTTGGAGAAGCACTCGTATAAGCATTTCGGTTTATATTCTGTACATCTTAGTAAGAGTCGCCGCATTGCTATTGGCTCCGAGCTGAATTTGTGCACTGTTACGAAAAGCCTGCCAAGCCATTGTCTATAGAAATAACAGCAATCGTTGCATATCGTGTGCCAATCGCATGTGAAATTTACCAGGATCGCATCAAGTGTTCAGGGCTAATAGGCCTTCCCTTTGTGGTGTTCAATACCGAGCAGGTTGCAGTGCATTCGTATTAAAAATGGGTTTCAGTGCGACCAACAACTTTCATGAGACAGGGTTGCGACCATCTCCACATCACACATGCATGAAAATACATACGAACTACGGAGAAACGCTTTGGGGGGTTCCAGTACTAATAAAGCTCTTCATCGGTCATTCGAGACTATAGTCGTAGCCACAGCACTACATCGCTCCTATGCCGTCAGTCAAGGCAGTTTACCTTGTGTGAAGAGTGACAAGCGGCGGGCCGCTCGGGAACCAAGGGTGATCGACAAGGATGTAGCCCCAGGAGACGGAGGCGGAAACGGTGACCATCCCAATTGGCCTCGTCTATCCTGAATATTAGCCGAGTGGGGATACAGCATATGATACCACTTGAGTTACACACAAGCATGAACAGATCATAAAGAGGGGGCGTCCCAGTGTTGAGTTGCAGGTGTCCTGCAGCGCATTTATATTGTCAGCAAAATGGCTTCCCCAACTGTTCAACCAATAGCCGAACGTGCTGAAAGGCCTCATGATGTACCTGGCGTACTAGAAGCAGAGGTACCATACTCAACACTATGGATAGAAAAACATGCTGATTAAGAGTAGGACGATGGCGGAGATACTGATTCTACGTTGGACCTCGGGTCGGTCATAACGACGGATAGCCTGTGATTTCTATGCTGACAATCAGTGCAGAGAGGGTTCTTCCAGTTACATGACATCTCTCAAATCAAGCATCTTTAGCTATAGGTAAGAGGCCATAATTCGAAGTCAACTGTACCTTCTTACTAAGATTATTTAGATATGAGGTACGGCATTGCATGATTCCTGAGTAGTTGGTAGCCTAACAGCTCAGCAGCATGGCCGTCGATATCATGCATTTCATGAAGGAGCATACTTGGTGGTAAGTCTTCTCGACCATCCAAAGTTCAAGTGCAAGCCGACTAACCATACACTGTAGCCAAACGATGACGAAGAGCAGAGCCGCATGGACCTGGTTCACCATATCTACAGTCTTCTTCTTGCGGGGAAGCTTCATACAGCCCCAATCGATAAACCCCAAAGGGTCCTTGATCTGGGCACAGGTACTGGCATCTGGGCTATCGATTTTGCAGAGTAGGTTATAGCCTCTTGGTGACTAGTTGAAGCCCCATTGTTAACCTCAGGAAAGCGAGCACCCTTCAGCCGAAGTAGTTGGGACAGACCTGAGCCCCATCCAGCCTGACTGGTGAGCCATGAGCATCATGTCTTTAACTTTGCCCAGACTCATATTTCTATGCAGGGTTCCCGCCAACTGCGCTTTTGAAGTCGACGACTTTGAAGACCCGTGGGTATACAAGAAGCCGTTCGACTACATCCACGCCCGAGAGCTTGAAGGGTGCATCGGCAACGAGCAGCAGTTCTTTGATCGTGCGTTCGAGAACCTCAACAGCGGTGGTTATCTCGAACTTCAAGCCCAGCGTGGGTTCTTCATGTCAGACGATGACTCGATCAAGAAGGCCGTGAATGCAGAGGTCTGGGCTGAAGCAGTACGCGACAGCAGCAACAAATTCGGAAAGCCTATCGACTGCGCCATGAACTGGAAAGATAAGATGATAAAGGCGGGCTTCGTGGATGTCTACGAAGAGGTACGAAAGGTGAGCATTATACCTGACGAGAAAACAAGTCGTTAGCTGATCATGAGGCAGATTCCAATTGGTGCCTGGCCTAAAGATCCTGTCCTGAAGGAAGTAGGCAAATGCCAGGTTGTTCAATCATGTGCAGCCATCGACTCTTACACACCAATGCTTCTGGAAAAGGTCCTTGGATGGGGCAAAGAGGAAACCCAAGTCCTAATGGCAAAGGCCAAAGGGGAGCTCCGAAATCCCTCTATCCATCTGTATCTTCCTGTCTACTTCATCTGGGGAAGAAAGCCATAGAATTCCGACCTCTGGTTGTTAGTGCTAGATGGGACATAATTCTGAGTGGTACCCGACAGATGATGTGAAAGGCAGATTAAAAGACGAAAAGTCCACAGAACCGTGTGATCCAGGTTGCCGAGATACGATCAGATAGGACCTACATAGTAACTGCACTGTGAGCGCTTACCTGAATCTCTCTTGCTTCGCAAATCGTGACGGAAAAACTGGTTGCACTCATAAGTTCTCTGTTCGCTACCATCACCCTTGCTCAGTCCGGTTCATCGTATAGATGCTAGTAATCTTCCCATGGCCATGCAGCGATCGCCAAGCTGCGATGTTGCGCTCCTGCGATGGAAGAGCCTGCAAATCCCAATAGGCCGCCCGACCCCACTCTCTGACGAATTCATTGCCCTTGATCTTGCCGGTTTCAATCTTCTATAGTCAGATATTCAGCGATGGCGCAACGTATATGCCAGCCTAGACGCAGTTGCTGGATTGAACTAATATGTTGGCAATGGTGGGCAGCGTTTGGCTGGATGCTAACAGAGCCCACTAAACTTACAGCACCGTTAGCCACTCCACCGCTAAGGTTTCTGAGATCGCCGTTGACAGTGGCTGAAGGTGGCGCTTAACGGTAAACGATTATCTTCTGTCACCGAGGCCTGATTCTGGAACTTAGAAAGGATTGGAGATGAGTTCCTAGGGGTTCCATTCGCGCAGTTATGCGAAGCTCACGACATGAGTGGAATGGGACAGCCTCCAAATTGTGTTGGTGGAGGTCTACGATAAGGTAGGGCTGGTGTTTGGGCCGCCACCAAATGAAACAGCCCATATGGAAACTGACATCAATGTTTGAGGGAGCACAATACATAAAAAGGCATTTGCACCCATCGGTGATACTCTAGTGAGTACCTTTTTAAGTGCCTGGTCGAGGTACTCTCACACAAACAGCTTATTGATTGCGGGGTGTTTGTCCTGGTTAAGGTATACCTATGGATCCATTATAACTTCATAATGGAAGGTAACCTTCGCGGGGGATTATCCGCTAAAACCCCTGCAACACGGCACACAGGGCGTTTGTGCCCACTGAAGCGCTGGGGTTTATTTAGCGATCGCACATCAACCAACAGCACAGCCAAACTCTACCAACAGTTTCTTTGCTTTGGGCGTGCAAACGCAGCCTCGTTTACCTGAAACTCTACAAGGGTTTGTTTATCTTCTTTTCTCTTCTCCCTCTGTAATTGAGTCTTGTTACACACAGCGGAGATGAATCGGAGCTCGGCTTCAGTTTTCCCCGATAGATACCTCCCAGCAACGCAATCGACCAAAAGTTGTTTGCTCTTGCCATGAGCCAACAGGCCCAGAGCCTGATTCATTATTTTTCTTCCTACATCGCGCCCCTCGCTTCTGTCTTCCTATCAAAGGGGCGCACCTATATCTTCGAGACATTTCCCTACGATTGCCGCCGACTCCCCTCGACCTAGAACACGAATTCCGCACCATATGCCATGAATGCGAACCACGACGAGGCACCAGCCTCTTACGATGACATTGGGGTCGGTGATGCAAACCTGGAGGTGCAAAAATGCGTCAATCGCATCTACAAGGCATCTGGGAAGTATCCCTGGGACTGGCTGCCACGCGATTACGTTCCCAAGGTCGCCGCTTGGGGCACCAACGCCGCGCTCAACCTTGCCCTTGCTGTTGAAGCTGTTCACGCCCATGGATCAACGGTTACCATGGACGAATTGCGTGAGTTCCTGGTACAAAGGGCCAGAGAACGCCAGAAGTTAAGCAAGAATGGCAAGCCAGTCAAGCCCACCATGAACTCGGATTGCGCGAAGGCTAGAAAGTGGATTGAAGACAATATGGTCAACTCTCAAAGCACATCGAAACAGAACAAGCACAAACGGTCGGGCCACTATGGTGCCTTTAGGAAAGCGAGACCAAAGACATGGCGAGGGCTCACTATAGCTCAAAACAAGCAACCCCAGGATAAGCTTGACGACGATGATGACAATGACGAGGGCGATGACGATCCATTCCAAAGGATTGACTTCAGTAGAGAGATGAGTGTTCTCAGTGATATCAGCAACGTGAGCAGTGCAATCGGTCCATCCGATCGGCATCAGCACTCCCCTCCTGCACCGCCCGATCGGACTTGGGCTCATAAGCGGGACATGCCTCCTCGTATGTTTCTGTATATCTCGTTCTTGAGCTGGATCCATGACTGACACCCACTTAGCACCCTCTCCGGTCCCCAGCAAACGCTCGCGTCACGTCGAACAATTCGTATCGAAAAATATCGATGACTCCAAGGTAGCATCCAGCCTAGTCGACGCCGAGGAAGAAGCATGTCTCAGTCAAGCTGTTAGTATCACGCCCCAGATAAGCGCCGACGCTAATTTTATCTCACTCCATAGGAAACGATGATGCTCTATGCTATCAATCGCAGCCTACGAACATCATGCGAAAGGATTGAAGCTGCTGAAAACCTGAGCAACGGATACAACCAGGAGATAGACAATACCCGAAATAATCTAGCTGCAATCGACATGGAAGTCAGACATGTCCTCCAAACAGCCACGCGAGACCGAGATGAAAAACAAAAGAAAGTGAGGCAATTGAAGGACGAAAAACACAAGTTGGCCGCGATGATCGAGGACCAGGGTGGGAAGTGTTCAGAAACTCTGCAGGACTTGTACGACGGCTTTATCCTGGAATATGAGAAGGCGCAGAAGGGGCTTGAGAATGTCCAAAACACTTTGGAAGCGATGGAAGAGGAAAGTCAGAAGAATAAGCAACATCAAGATGGACAAGATAAGATCACATCTCTAGAGAAGGGCATTGCCGAACAAAAGGAGATCATTAAGCGGGAGACGAGGAGGAAGTTAGTATTCGAGACGGCCCGGTGTCGTGTGGACTACTTAGACCAACTTAGGTCAGCTCCCGACGAAAAGCTATACGCAGAGCACGAAGCGGCCATGAAAAGTCAAGAGTACTTGTCATAGCACAACTTTGGCTGCTGCAGCCAGCGCCCGGCGAAGTCTGGAGTATGTTCAAGCATTATTATTGGGTTCATGTTCGGTTTTTGAGAGCGATTGCACTGTCAAAGGCTTTATGTGGCGAATGGTTGGTAATGATAAAAAGGACTTCGTGGCTCAGTTTGGGATGGAGAACAACTTGAATTAAAACTAGAATCAAGTGCAAACGTGGGTATCTACTTCATAATAACAAGGAAACATCAAACCCTTGCCTTCATGTGGCCTTCTTATCTCACCACCTGTGCTAGATGGATGGTCGTGAGACCTGAGTTCTTCGTGGAGGGACAACAACCTTGCGTCCATCTTGGATAGTCTCTCCTTCAAAATTCTCTCGATGACCAACTTCTCAAACACTGCGACATCATCGAAATAGTCAGACTCTTCCTCATCAACGTCCCCATCTCGTCGTCTATGAGTCGCGAAGCGTAGCGGCGTTTGTGTTGGCTTGACTTTCCGAACAAAGCCTCGCCGTCGTGTGTTGTACCTCTCGGACCTGGCGCTCCAGAAGTCTTTGGCCATCTCGCCAAGTTCGAGGGTTTTCGCTGCTGTAAGCCCAGCGTGACTCACATCGACCTTGGACTTCCACTTGCCGGGCTTGTAAGTCGTGAAGCTCAGCTCTTTGATGTGATGGCGTATTCTCATGTCAAGGAAATGCCCGGAAGCTGGGAGGACCTTATCAACTAGACCCATGTCTCTTGCTTGAGAAGCGGACACGGGTAGCATAGCACGCAAAATATACTTTGCGCGCTCTGGTCCACAGCGACCGACGTAGGATAGAGAGTGATACTCAGAGCCGTAGAGTCCGAGGGTTCGATAGGCGGGATTGAGGACGACTTCGGAGCCTGCGATGACCACGTCACAAGCAGCTGCCAAGGCCACCCCGCCAGCAGCGCAGTTCCCTCTCAGCGCCGCAATAGTAGTGACGTTCTTCCGAGGGAATACGTCCAGTAGCATGTACACCACATCATCAATACGATTGATGTTCTTCCAAGACTCTGCTGCAGGGTCATCATTGGCTTCGATGACATTGAGGGCGATACCATTGCTGAAATATGAGTCGCCGCCCATGAGAACGACGGCATCAAGAGCCTCATGCAAAGCGACCCATTCAAGAGCTTCAATGAGTCGCGAACATTGAGATGTGCTCATGGCACCGTTGTAGAACTCGAAGTAGACGAAGGCGACTTGGCGCTTGCCCGCACTCGCAGCAAAATCTACCCAGATCTCTTGATGGGTTGAGTATGTTGCTTTAGACCATTCGAAGAGAGGACGTAGTGATAGTGAACTGTTCAGGGTGCTTTGGTTGATGAGGCCGAGATCGAGAAGGCCTAAGACAGCGGGGACTTTGGGCCAGAGCATCGGATCAGCCTTGCGCTTCACTCGGCGGATATGAGTGATCCAGATTCCTTGTCCATCACAGGTGGCGACGCAGACAGCCTCGTCTCTGCAACCAATGATTTGTCCAGGTCCGCGTTTGCATTTGGCATCCCTCCCAGCCTCAATCGTACCTCCGTAGACGTAGAGACCGACTCCTCCAAACAGCTTTGTGAGGCAGCCAGGCTGCGAGTCAGCAGACCTTATCTTTCGCGATATCGTCCGGGCGGGTTCGTATTGGATGTCGAAGTTGCGGTCCGCTGCCTTGAGAAGTGGTCGGCGATGTGTTGGCCCGCCGAGGAAGGGCTTGCGCAGTGTCACTGATAGGCTTTTATAATTGCGGTTGGGGACAAGGTCGACTGAGATGCCGTGAATATCCTGTTTGTCCAGCAGTGACAGTCGCGAGAGAGCTGCTGCAATGCCTGAATCGGAGAAGCCGTTAGCTGCAGAGACGATGCGGTGCAGAGCAGTAGCGGTGGCAATAATCGCTGCTTGGGTGACCTCTTTGCGGTAGAGTGTTGACTTGGAGACTCCGGGCGCGTCGATGTCGATCTTGAACTGCTCAAATGCCCAGACTGGACCAGCGTCCATCTCCTCAACAGCTTGTAAGACTGTGACGCCCCAATGCGACCGGCCGTTCTGGCTCCAGGACTGGGACTTGAGTAGTTGATCGGAGTCTATGACGTTGCCATCGTCGCCCATGAGCACCCAGTCGAGGGCGCTTGGTCCTGCGTCACCTGGCGGTCCAGGGTGGATGATGAGGGTGAGATACTTTGAGAAGATCTCGCTTGGGACTCGAGTAGTCATGAAGGGGCAGACGATGACGTTTGGTTGGAACAGAGTCGCTGCCTCGATCATGGCTTTGTCAGAGAGCGCATACTCAATCGTGACATCGTGTTTCTGACTGAGGATAAGATACAGCTGCTGAGAGAGCGAGTTGTGCGCGGTGCAGAGAAAGAGGATCTTCATGGGAGGTGTAGTAGGCAGGCGACGCTCACCCGAATCGCTCGAGCGACTGGTCTCGCTGGTACCTCGTGATAGCTTCAGTGAACCCATTGTGAGATGTTACGACGAGATACTTGGCGTAGCAGCAGGAGCAGCAGCCGGGGACGTCAGATGGCAGCATCATGGGGTTTAAGTAACAATCTCCACAGGCCAGTGAATAACTCAAGGTTGCGACCTAATGACTGACAGTGTAACGGCATCTTCGCACTAGACAGCTCAGCCGTGAACAAACGCGCATGTGTCACTGAATCATACCCATTAACAAACAGTGATTCATTGGCTCAATGAAAGATGGCTACAATTTCGGTGGCTGATGATCTATCGGAACTCTCGCGACTTAACCAGGATGGGCAAACAACTTGCAGCACGGACGCAGCCATCACAATTGAAGATCGAACTATGGCGACAGACTTTGTGTTTCATTGGATCGTAATCTCACTTTTGGCTTCATTATTTCAGGTGATGGGTGCCCCTTGCAGTTGCTTTGGCTTTCCAAGGGAGATTACCTGGCGCTTGGTGTTGGGGCTTTACCGCGAGTGTGAATTGATCGACACGGCTGAGTGGTTAGCGGAGCTGAGCTTTGCTTGCTGTTGATCACAGGTCCCCGGTTTCTGGGTCGAAATGTATCGCAGCAAATCACTGAATGGAGACTTAAATCACGCAGGCTGATCAGTGCACGAGTAGACGAGGTGCCCTGCAGTAAATGGAGAGGCCCAGAAGTGAGGGACAGAGCGCGCCCTATCTTATCAGGCTTTCGCTCAGACGCGCCAAACACCAAATTATGATGTCAGAAAGATTCCATATCACAAAGCCTTGCACCCTCTTTTAAGTGCCACAAGAAGCCATGCGACCCAAGCACAGCGATATGACTCAAGTCAGAGCCCAAGGGATAAATTAGTCCAACCGTTGGGTTCTGAGGCCTTTCGTGCTGGAGGCAGTGATACGCGTCGGCGAAAGAATACGGAAATTGGTAATTCCGGTTATTTGTTTGTGGTGGAGAGAGCGGAGCGATCGCGCCAAAAGTCAAAACAGCCCTTCACGATGCAGGGTAAGTTGATCGACATTCTCGACTTTTCCAAGCATGGAGCTAAATGTCCTCCCCACGCTCCCATTGCATGATAAGTGGTGATCTCATGACTGTTATCACAAAAAGGGAGAATTGGGCGAATTGGCTTCGCTGGATTTGGAGCGTTTGCAGGTTTAGTAGTGTTTTCATGCAACTTCATGGCTGCGGAACAATTGCCGACTCAAGGGATGACGCTTGATTGACCTTGGTCACAGCAAGTAGTGTCGCCGTAGGGAAAGCAAATTGTCGCCCTGAAGTGACAGAATCGCAAGTGCAGTATGACCAGCAAGTTGCACCCCGAATCAACTTGATATCACACCATTCCTGCTACATTATTTAGTTCTTGCTGGTGTTTCTTGATTAAAGTCTTCGTTTAGTACGGTACAGTGTTGTCAATTGTTATCGATAACGCCAAAATTGACTTGCGGGGCTCAATCACGGGACTGAGCCAGATAGCGGAGAGCTTCCGCTTTCTATTCCGTGGCCATGAGATTGGTTGAGACTACAGCCACCTAAAAATAGCGGCTTCAACACTGATGGCTTTCATGACTTGGGTCTCGGCCTCGGCCTCTAAACACATGGTATAAGTTGGCTCAAATTCGGCATGAAAACTTAGCCATCCTCTGGGGATATAATTGCAGGTGATTCCAGTTTCTCTGAAGTGCCTAGCTTGATATGCCAGCCATCCATCATATCTACACGCTGCTCAAAACACAAAATACTCACTAAGTATGAGCGCTAATAGCACGGAACCTGACACTTGGCTAATCAGTAGTGGCTACTTAGACTCTGAATGAGTATCTGGAAATATCATAACGCTGTTTATGTTATCTAAAGCACCCTTGTCAACATTTTGTGTCTCGATAGCAATGAAATCTTGCCATAGAAGACTCAGATACCCCAATATCTTCCATATAAATAAGAAGCCAATTATAGCGTCACATCGTAGAGTCACAGTATAAAGCTCCGGTGGAAGTCGATGGAACCACAGCAGGTGACATGACTAGATCTGAGCAGGGAGTTGTGCCGTTCCTAGACGGCATACATAATAGATCTCGCGCTATCAATGCGTAAAGTAGTCTAGTGGGAGCAACATCAGTCTAAAAGGATATCAGAACATCATATCTGCAGTTGACAAAAAGAGCTGTGGCGGGATTCAAAATATTGGACGAGTTTCCATACCTACTGTTTCCAATATTCACTTCTTATGGTGATTAAAAGCTCCTCGTCATGGGACTCAACCACAAATACAATGAAGACATCGCAACACCGTGCATGCCAGATTACTATAGCATGAATGCTCCTGACCATTCTATCTCATCATTCCTTGCGGTTGGTAGGAGGACTTTCGGAGAAAAGGGGATGATCCCCCGCTCGTCATCGTGTTGCATTGGCAATAGCGGCACAGATATTCGATACCCGCCATTGTAACAGTAAGATCCTCCATGACATGATCTTCCACCAACGAGATATAGGGCATGCTGGTTGCAACTTCATGACAGACCTTGAGACAGCATCAATTTGCCCCCTTTGGTTTGCCTCCTTCCCAAATTCTCACTTCCCCCGTAAATGTTGAGAGTCCGTCGGACTTTATGACGGCACTTGCGACTCCAGCTGATGGCAAAAAGTTCATCCCTCAGCTCAACAAGTCCTGGGTATGTATAACACGAACCCCACGAAACGAAGCTAAGACCGTCATGGGATCTTTCTACAGCGCGGAAAGGGCGTCAGGTAATAATAGAACACATATATACAGCAGCGGGGATCTAGAGATTATTCTGGGCTAGCGACTGGCGGAAAGTTTATATGGATTCCCGAAGTGTCGGAATCCCTAGATCCTCCAGACACGGGGACCCATAACGGGACGGCTTCCCCTAGCAGGCTTGCCCTGACCAGTCTTCACCGTCAATCGTGAGATTCCAGGTTCGCAAGTCAGATAAGGAGTAAGATCATCGGCTTTCACGGGCATCGGTCGTCGGGGATAGAACACTGGTATTTTCTAGCTAATGTTTTGCCCCATTGAAAAGCGATACAGGCAGACAGGATCAAGCCTGGCGATTCTCAGCTCCCTCCCGCGGGTGTCGGCGGTCGCAAACACCGACCTGTAAAGGTTTAGCGCCCCAAGGCTCGAGTTTGAGATTTGCTCAGCTCATCTTTATGTAATCGGACAATGCTTGAATGCCAAGGAACTTTGACATTGATAGAACATGGTATCGAGATGACATTAGAGCTTTCCCAAGTGTCAGTTTGATGAACTGATCTCGCATGGTAATTAACTTTCTAGGAATTAACGTATTTCCCACTAACGCATGCAGAGGTGCTGTTCAGTCAGCCTCCAGCGATAAGCTTATTTGTGGCCCCTGCCAAGATCGCAAGCCCCTAAAGTTGACAGCGAACTCTAAGCAAGGCAACCTCAATTTCTGCAATCAAGGATACGCAAGTTCTTCCAACAACTCGCATACGTAACATTTGCTATGCGCTTAATGCACCCAATGTCATTCGATGGAAGTTTACGGCTGTTTTACAGGCTGTTTGTTCACACCATCTGCCATTGAAAGTTGCGTATTGTTGAAACCGTAGCTGTCTCGAGTACAGCAGGGTCGCAGTGGAAGCCCATACGAAAATTGTGATGATTCAACATTATGAATCAGTACAGTTCAATCCCCGTGGGAGGAATCTGGGGCCACGGAGTAATATCTTCTAAATGGCCTAGTAAAGGACCAAGTTTCGCAATGCAAAAGTCGTGCTAGTCTCCATTGCGCTTGGATCTGATCGAGCTCCCAGTAAACCGGGACCTGACTAGTCTACCGTCCGTATGCCACCGCAAGAGTTGCTCTTTGGGTATCGGCCCATGCTAAAGTTTGACATCAAACGTCCTGTAGGCACTAACTGTGGTTCATCCCGTGGTGAGGGGCCGCTCAAGCCATAAACTTCAAGGTCAGTTTCACTTTCCACGAAAAACATGTTCGCCGAACAAAACAAAACAGTGTCAGGCACCTTGGCGCTCACATTTGTTCTGAAGATCAGTTCATGTGGTTCGATAAAATGCCGTGCGTCGTTGTAGCACCGCTTTAGGATCTTCTCGACAAAAGTTGTTGAAACATACTGAAAACTGCTTGAACCTCGCCTCCTACCACCACAAATCATGAATTTTGCAAATTCGATGACCTCGTCTAGGTTCGTTTAAGGTTAACAATAATAGACTGCTCAGCGGTCAACTTAATTTGGTGAAGCTATGATCACCAGCCAGGGGCCGCCCCCCCCACTATCAGTACCTCAAAAAGACATCGTTTCCAGACCCCTACCGCCAAGAAGCCTTGAGCCCCCCTGATTGAAATGAGCGTTTCATGGCCTCGCCTTACCTCAATCAGCGCCGTGAGAATCGCCGCGAGAATCGACTCAGGCTGGATCCGCCACGGCGTTGTTGGAGCTGGAGAACTATGATTGAAGCAGGAAAAGGAACGGATAGTTCAACCAATTGAGTTTTATTTGATCAGCCATGGCTCAGAGTCAATCTACCCGTCTTTGAAGCATATTTTTTAGGTTGTTTTGTCGTGGTTTGTGAACGAGCCTAAACGAGCTGTCAACAACCTTAGTTAAATTAAACAGCGTTGTTGATTGGTGCAATAACATTTCATCCACTGAAACATCCCCTAGAATACGGCTGCCACCCGCCGCACTCTGTAACAACAGGTCTGATCGAGATGGCGAAGCGAAGACCACCAACATGACCGGGTTCTTTTGCCTATGGAGAAGAAATGTTTTTCCCATCTTGGCGTTTTGAATTGAATGAGCTGGGGCTTTAGGCGCTCCAAGGACCAAGGATATTCTTCCACCGGACGAAAAACTGGCTCTCTCTGGCGTAAGGCCGAGTGCCGCGCCGTGCAGAATGGATATCCCCTGTGCGGCGCCAAAGATTGATGGTAGGGAGACTCGAGATCCAGAATCTATAAAGATATCGCATGTCCTCCGTCCTTCTCGACCTTTTCCCTTCTCATCACCATCAACAGATCTTCATCTTCTTTCATTCACTTCAGTCTTTCTTTCGAAGAGCTAGTCTCTCGTTCCTTTCGTTCCAATTCAACCGAGCCAGTCTCCAGCACTACCAATCAGTTTACTATCCCTCAAACCAACCAACTCTTTTCAAAATGAAGTTCTCCGCTCTCGCCCTCGCTGCCCTCTCGCAGGTCGCCTCTGCCCACTACTTCTTCGACGTCAGCGCTCTCAACGGTGCCGAGTCCAAGTCCTTCCAGTACATCCGTGACTTCACCCGTCCTACCAAGTACAACCCCATCAAGTTCTCCTCCAACCCTTCCGCCGACATCCGCGACAACTCTTTCGCTGATGGTGAGGACATCATCTGCAACCAGGGTGCCACCGGAACCGGTGGTAACACTGAGGTCCTCGAGGTCAAGGGCGGCGATGTCATGACCTTCAAGCTCGCTGTCGGTGCCAAGATGGGTCACCCCGGACCTACTCTGGCCTACATGTCCGCCGCTGGTGGCGACGTCAAGTCCTACAAGGGTGACGGTGACTGGTTCAAGATCATGGAGGAGGGTGTCTGCAACGCCGGTGGTGACTTCACCAAGGACGCTTGGTGCAACTACGACGCCACCTCTTTCGACGTCAAGATTCCCCAGGGTACCCCCAACGGCGAGTACCTCCTCCGAGTTGAGCACATCGGTGTCCACCGATCTCACGTCAACCAGCCCGAGCACTACGTCTCCTGCGCTCAGGTCAAGGTTACCGGTGGCTCCGACGGCACTGTCGACGCCGAGATGGTCAAGTTCCCCGGTGCCTACAAGGACACCGATGAGTACGCCAACTTCTCCATCTACAACGGTGCTAAGGCCTTCCCCATGCCCGGCCCCAAGGTCTGGGACGGTGCCGCTTCCGCTGGTGGCTCTACCGGTGGCTCTACCGGTGGCAACACCGAGGCTCCCGCTTCTACCCCCGCTCCCGAGGCCGGTAACGGTCAGCAGACCGGTGGTGAGCAGGCCGCTCCCTCTGCCGCTCCCGAGGCTGGCAACAACAACGGTCAGAACGGTGGCTTCCAGGGCGGCAACCAGGGTGGCTTCCCCGGTGCCGCCAACCAGCAGTTCCAGGGACAGGCTGGTTCCAACGGCTCTCCCTGCTCTGCTTAGGCGAGCAACCTTTTTTCTTGGGAGACGCTGTAGTGTTTTGTTTTAGTGAAGGGGGGAAGTTGAAGCAAAGGTGGAAGAGTTGAAGTGGTGGTTGGTCAACCTTGTATAAAAGAGTCCTGTTGATCGTTTCAAAACACTTAGATGAAGAGGGGATAGTCTGGTACTGTGCTCATAGTTTTTAGCTTTGTCTGTTTAATACGAAGCAGTCTTAGGACAAATCGTTGCTCCACTCATTCGCAAGTGACCTATTCCTACGCTATCTAATCCTTGACAATCCTTCAACCTATCTGTAAAGTGTCTTGCTAATTACCTAGTCTGAGTAATGACTGCTTTTTGTTATTCTTTAGTTGCTTGCTTATGTTCTCATGGATCATGACTGGGATACAAGCTCCACTGTCAGGACCATGCTTGCCTTTGTTTCGTTTCGCAACCTGAATCTTGGCAGCAAAACGTACACTCGGTAGTTGATGCCAGAACTATCCGTGCTCAACGCCTCGAAAGGGCTGTCAACTTAGTGCGAAGCGTGTTAGAGAACGAAGAAATAACAAAGCAAATCATCACTATTAAGAGTAAACATCTTGATCTTGAACATTTGTAGTTTAGGTCCCAAAAAACCATCGTCACATTTCCTCACTGGCCAACGGTATCATCATGTGCCGAAGTGATAAAGTCTGCCATGTGAATGGGCCACCAATCATTCTTTTGTGATACTGGACGCTGAACATGCAATATCGAACCAAAAAATCCTGACCCGATTGAACGATACTATTTATTTATGCGAGTGAAAAACTGATCTAGCCTCCATCGAGAAGTGCCCGAGCCGCATGACGTCAAGCATAAGCAGCGTGAGACACTCAAAACATGTTTGTATCAAACCCTCAACACCGTGAAACGTCCTTCATCCTGACATTCATCCCAATGGCCCAACCAAACAAATTTGATCGCCAAGGAATCTTGACAGACACTTCACTTCCAGAAGTTTACAGCAAGCTGGTTGAATTGGCCGAAGAGTTCTCTGTACTTGGTGAAATCGATACCGCCAAAGACTTAGTATCACTGCTCCTCCAGGATACTACCTCTCAATGGCAGCGCAAGCAGCTCCATCACTTTGAGCCATTCTTTGCGGCTGCACACATATGGCCTGATGAAATCCCGGAGAAGGAAAGAAGTGAAGCAGTATCTGACAAGACTGCATCCAAGCACTCCCTCGACATCGACGATACCGAGGAACAAGATGGCAAAGGCAACTTTCAGGAGCAGATAAAGAAGGTCCATCAATATGGCGCGGACGGTTCAAGCTTGGCTGATGCCCTATCCAGTGCCTTCAGATTGGCCTCAAAGCAGAGCTCCGACCTGGAAGAAGTCCAGAACAATTCAAGAGTTCAAGAAGTTCTGGAACTCATCGCCCAGAACTTATACAAGCGAGGGATTATCTCGCGCCTTGCTGGGCGCCATGATCTCAGTGGACTGCTAGCTACTGGTGTATTGGCCCGAAAAGTCCCTGTTGACAAGAGGAAAATCGAGGCCCTTGGCAAAGACGTCGTTGTGACATTCGCAGAGCGTTTTAGCAAGGGTCGAAAACCACTAGATATAGAGTCGAAACCCATGAAGGACGTGCTTTTGGAGCTTGAACGGAACACGAAGCCCAAGTCCCTCAGCTACTGGGAAGAGATGGAACAAGATCCTCCAGAAACACTTTTCAATCTGCCACCGGCTACAGATGAGCAGATATCATCACTGGAGAAGAGACTGAAAGTAACACTACCAGATGACTACAAGGAGTTTCTGAAGATCACCAATGGATTTGGAGGCACATGGAACGGCTTTCATCTCGACCCTCCTCTCCATAGCGTCGACGATGTCCAATGGTCTGATCCTTTATTTGAAGTCCCTTATGTTCAATTTCATAAAAACATCAGTGGAGTACTCGTGCTGGATCTACCAAAGAGAGATGACTGGCCAAACTCCGGCCCAAATATTGAAATTGGCCGTGAAGATGTTCTCGGCATTCTACTAATCACACCCGATTGTACCAAGAAAGTTTTGGAAGCATACGACACAGCATTGGAAGGGTCGGATATCTCGGAAGATGACAGGAAGCAGGAGATGAAGGTCATTGAAGCGCATTATGGAAGCTACGATGAGATGAAGAAGTTGGACTGGGCTACTATTGAGTTTCATGATTCGGAGGACATTCCATGCGGGACGTTTCGGCAGTTTCTTGAGAACAGATTGCGTCGAACAACGACTGTGGGGTACCCGGATGAAAACTCAAAGGAGGCTGGAAGTCTGGCTTATAGCTGCTTGGCTGATAATTCTTAAGCGAACAAGGAAGATATCAACATCCATGCCAGGCAACAGGGTTGCAAAGATTTGTCACGTACACGTGTCAGTTACGGAGGCTCATAAGTAACAAAGTATCAATTTCAATTCGCAAATGGTGTATTTAATCCTACGCTGCAAACAAAGTTCCGTCCGTCCCATGTTGATATATGCAATTTGGCTCCGAAAGATGCCGCCGTCCATTGTCCCAATTTTATCCGTGCCAGCGACTCCCTGAATCCGTTTTTATCCCTAAGCAAAATCCGTGCCACCCATGTTTTCATTCCTTCATGATCCGTTGCTTCCATAAACCGTAAGTATCCAAATTTTGTAAGTAGGACTAGCTACTGCTTCTCAATTAGATGTAGCCAGCTACATAACAGCACATCCACCAGAGGGTGAAGGTGAACGGCTCCTCTTCCCTCGCTGAGAATGGCTCTTTGTTTGCTTGGGCCTCGACGATCGCTGGTCAGTCTTGCCCGTGCGTGTAGAGTATTGATCATAGGGCTTGCTAGCGGTTGAGCGTTGGCCGTATGCCTTGCTTGTATGGCTATGCGTTGTTGAGCGCTTGTCATATGTCTTGGTTGGACGTTGAAGCCTGAGCCACCAGCAGACTTCTTCCTCAATACCAGACAAGATGGCGGTGAGTCTTTGCTGCCACGGGGCGAATGTGAAAGATTTGCCAAGGCTGGGCTTCGATGTCTTGGCTTTCGACAGGGGATACAATAACTGACCCCGGATTTCGTCTCGGTAGAGCGGCAAGTTCTTTGCTGTGATAAGGTTAGATGGATTTGCTGATTGCAGGGGTTGACTCACGGGCTGGGTCTGTGTACTTGGTCTGGCCCTTTGCCGAATTGAACAGGGCTGTCAACGTGTTTGCACCTCTGACAGCAGTATCGCACATTCTCTTCTTATCGTTCTTCAACTTGGTACGATCTTTGTGCTGTTTGGGCAGCTTGATGTCTTCAATTGCATCGACAACATCAGCGAGATAGTTGATGATGGATATCAACACCGCCCTCCCCAGCAAATCGCTGTATCCACTCACACCATCTGAGCGTCGTGGAATGCGATGGGCATGCTGAGGAAAATGAATATGATCGCTTGTTCGGTCTTTCATTATGGCTATTAAAAAAAGAGGTAAGTAGAGATGAATGAATAGATAGATAGATAGATAGATTAATTAAGCATTATACTAGTAAGAATAAGGATAGAATGAGATGATCCAAATGAGAACCGTTTGGTGAATAGGCAGCCGCCCGCTTTTATAGCCAGACCGACGTTGTTTACGGAGGACCATCCCGGGGCCTTGTCCAGTCTCTCGATGTGGTGGTTTATACATGGAGAAGGCCAGAGCAAGGATGCCAATTAGAGAGAGGTCATTTCTCAACATTGTACGGTTACTAACGTAGTGGAGGTCTGTAACACGTTCAACGGGGCTCATGCACCAGAATAGTGGTCTGCAGCCTCATGTAGCCAACAACGATGAACTGTTACGCGGCCAACATGCCATGAAGAACGGGTCCATGGACCAAACCAGACTTTTGCATGTCTTAGCCTGTGGATTTGGGTAAGATGGCATGCGAGTTCGAGCTGATTTGGCCATGCATGCAACGTAAAGCGGCTGTATAGTTTGCCAGGGGTGTATGCTTGTCTATGATCAAGACGATCCCTTTGCTTTTGGCCCAAGTCAAAAAAGCTTGACATCGGAGTCCACTATAGCGCCTAATAGTGGAGATGCCCACTGGAGGGCCTCGATTTTGGGTCTCCATGTGCCGGGTTTAACTTAGCTCAGTGTCGTGCTGTGCTGCGCTGGCAGAGCGTTCCGGTCGAATCAGATCATGGATACTTGCACAAATCGCCACAATTTGCATGACAATCGTTGTGCAGAAAAATTCTCATCAGAAATTCGCTGTTACACAAGTCACTAGCCACATGTTTTATATGGATCAGGTGACCTATTCGTTGCTGTGAGTGAGTCAAGCTGCCAAGAATAGGACAGCAAGTCATCCCAAGTCGAAAATTTTGAGGGATCCAAGCTCTACCAGCACCAGCACCAGCACATGTCAATTCGAATTTTGCTGGCTCTGACTCAGAATTTGCGTTTCAGAAAAATAGTTGTGTTGTCAATTTGTGCGCTGTGTGACTGTTACACTCGCTAAACCACTGCGGGCGCACTTATACCTGTCCCTTCGGCCCTGACGGCAAGGAAACGAAACAATTGTCTGTTCTGTCCTGTTCTGTTCAAAATGGATTTCTGTGCATGCATTTCTCTGCATAGCATATGCATAGCACATCATCCATGTTATACATGAGTTGTGCAGATCGCTCTCATGTCATGTCCCCTGCATGAAACGGACGGCATACATAACTGATCGCCGACATCGTTTTTGCCTAAATACATAAACTTCAGCTTGCACGCTTCAGTACAGAGATCAACATTGGCAATGGCTAGAATTTCGGAGAGATTGCCGATGTCACTTCGCGGGGAAATAAAGCTACGCACTGTCCCGTTCTATTGCCAAATTGATCTGCCGTTCACAGAACTTAAGCTTAATCTCTCGAGGCTTATTGTAGAGTTTAGACTACTCCGTAGATTATGACAGCTTGCAAGAGCTCATCATCAATTATGATAGCGTAGATAATCTCCAATGAAGCTCTCCCAAGGCTTCACTGGCGTTATTTCCTTATATCCGCTATTCTCACACTACGACCCCAGTCCACCTGGTCTTGAGTCCAAAAGATCAGCCAAGTCCGGACGAACAGTGAAGCTCGGTCCATTTACCCCGAAGTGAACCTGGATGCCGATTGATGGACTAACTAATACAGCATCATCGGCTGTCGATCTCAGCCGTAGCCATAATCTCAAGGCTAATTCAAATAGCCTGAATCAATTCACCAGTAATTACTCCGCATGTCATCGTGAGACATGCTGCGATATAAGACGATGGTCTCGCTTCAATCGAACGGAACGTCAAAGCCCATCACAAGCGCAGTCATAGCTCACCATGTGGCTCTCGGCTTTACTCTTCACTTTGTTCACCTGCGTTATCGCAGAGGATGGTATTGATGGTTGGCTGAGATATGCTCGCTTGCCATCAAGCGTCTCCATCAATGCCAAGTCGCTTCCCCAAAAGATCCATGTAATTGGTGGTTCCACAAAGAGTCCCCTCGGCAGTGCCGCCTCGGAACTCCAGAAGGGCTTCAGCGGTATTCTCAACATCGACTTGAAGACCGAGAGCAACTCAAAGTCGTGCGACTTCTCGCAGTCAATTGTTGTCACCACCGAGGAGAACCTCAAGAAGGCATGTAAGGGCAAATTGTCTCATCCCAAGCTTGAGGCCGATGGCTACTGGCTCAGCACTTCTGGAAATTCTGTCAAGATCATTGGTCAGAATGAGCGCGGTGCTCTGTATGGCGCCTTTGAGTACCTCTCAATGCTCGGCCAGGGCAACTTCAAGAAAGTCGAGCGCGCATCGAACCCGAGTGCGCCCATTCGATGGGCTAATCAGTGGGACAACCTCAACGCAAGCTCGACCCATGGCTCCATCGAAAGAGGCTACGGCGGTCCTTCCATCTTTTTCGACGGTGTCAAGAACGTGCGAAAGGACCTCTCACGGGTTCCTCTCTTTGGACGTCTTCTCGCCTCCATCGGTATCAACGCCGTGGTCATCAACAACGTCAATGCCGATGTCAGACTATTCAACTCTGAGAACCGTAAGGGCCTTATCGAGATTGCCGACCTGCTTCGTCCCTGGGGTGTTCAGGTCGGTCTCTCTCTCAACTTTGCGTCACCCCAATTGCTCGGGGGCCTGGATACCTTTGACCCTCTTGACGAGAAGGTGATCAAGTGGTGGCATGAACTGACCGATGGTCTTTACGATGGCATTCCTGACATGGCTGGCTATTTGGTCAAGGCAAACTCAGAGGGCCAGCCTGGACCTATCACGTATAACCGCACTTTAGCTGATGGCGCCAACATGTTTGCCAAAGCCCTTGAGCCCCACGGCGGTGTTGTGATGTTTAGAGCTTTTGTTTACGACAAGCTTGACTGGACTGACTGGAAGGCTGACCGCGCCAACGCTGCTGTCGAGTTCTTCAAGGAGCTGGACGGAAAGTTTGACGACAACGTGGTCGTTCAGATCAAATACGGCCCTATTGACTTCCAAATCAGGGAGCCTGTTAGTCCTTTGTTTTCACATCTTCGAAAGACCAATAGTGCTATCGAACTGCAGATCAGTCAAGAGTACTTAGGGCAGCAATGTCATCTTGTCTATCTGCCTCCATTATGGAAGACGATCCTGGATTTCGATATGCGAATCGACGGCAAAAAGTCCCAGGTTCGCGACATAGTGTCAGGAAAGGTCTTCAAGCGACGTCTAGGAGGATATGCTGGTGTCACAAACGTTGGTTTAGACAAGACGTGGCTTGGAAGTCATCTGTCGATGTCTAACCTGTACGCATTTGGACGTCTTGCTTGGGATCCTACAGCGGATTCCAAGGAAATTCTCGAGGACTGGACGCGTCTGACATTCGGACTCGACAACAAGGTCCGAAAAGCCATTACTGATATGTCTATGGCTTCTTGGCCGGCTTATGAGAACTATTCTGGCAACCTGGGCATTCAGACCTTGACTGATATTCTCTACGCCCACTACGGACCCAACCCAGCTTCGCAGGACAACAACGGCTGGGGACAATGGACCAGGGCAACCCGCGATCATATTGGTATGGATCGTACAGTCAAGAATGGAACTGGAAACGCTGGCCAGTATCCCTCCGAAGTTGCCAAAAGGTTCGAGAGCACCGAAACGACCCCTGATGATCTCATGCTCTGGTTCCATCACGTCCCATACACTTTTAAGCTCCACTCTGGCAAGACTGTGATTCAGCATTTCTACGACGCTCACTACAAGGGTGCCGCTACAGCTCAGACTTTCCACAAGACCTGGGCGTCACTCAAGGGCAAGATCGATGATGACAGACTTGACCACGATCTCTTCAGACTAAAGTACCAGGCTGGTCACTCAATTGTTTGGAGAGACGCCATCAACGAGTTCTACCGCAACTTGTCTGGCATCCCTGACAAGCAGAACCGTGTTCGTAACCATCCTTACAGAATTGAGGCTGAGAAGATGGAACTCGATGGCTATAAGCCTGTCAATGTCACCCCTACTGAGACTGCTTCCAAGTATGTTGCTATTTACACAAACAGCACCGGAACAGCCAGCACCACGCTCAAGTCACCCAAGGGCACATACAATCTTGCTGTCAACTACTATGATATTGTTGGCGGCAAGTCTACTTGGTCTGTATATCTTAACAAACGACTGATCGGCAAGTGGGTCGGAGACAACGAAGAGCGACTTGGCCATTGGCCAAGTGAGTTCCTTGACGGTCACTCTGCCACTCGTATCACCTTTGAAGGTGTCAAGATCCAACCAGGTGACAAGCTCGTGATCATTGGAAAGGCTGATGGCAAGGAAACTGCTGCGTTGGATTATGTTTCAGTTTTGCCTCAAGGCATTGTTGACTAGTTGGTCATTCTTTCTTGTACTTTTTTATCAACTTTATGACTTAGCATCCGAATAGAAGACGACACTGGTGTTGCTGCAATGTTCAAATGTCAATTTATATGTACTCGTAACTAGTTACAATCCAAATGAAACATTCTAGGCCCTTGACAAGTAATCTGATCCAACTTCAAACTTTTCACTTTATTCAGATCAGTCATTCTTGTATAATTTACAGGAATGAGGGGTTAGCGTTGTCGAGGAGCTGCTCGAAGTAAGCCTGGAACCAGGTTCCGGCCTCAGGAGCGGGCCTGAAGATGAAATGTTAGCACGGAACGTAGTGAGAATATCAGAGGAAGCAACTTACTTGAGAGCATCATCGAGACCACAGTGGTAGTCGTAGCGAGCAGCAGAGGTATCAGAGGTACCATCAGACTCACCACCAGGCTTGACCCAGACGAAAGCATCGGCGAGAGCATCGCCAGTGTTGGTGGAAGGTCGAAGTCCGAAACCAGTACCCTTGGCATTGCACCAATCACCCTGAGCCTTCTGGCCGGTAGGCTGCTTACCAGATCGGCCCTGGTCGACGATGAACTTGACATTGGAC